AATTGATTTATCTATGTGATATAAATAAAAACATTGTAAGTGCACATTAAAATGAATTGATTAAATACTAAAGCTTTTTAAATTTGATAATCAAAATTAAGGACCATGAAACTTAGGTCTTTAGATGTAGATTTCCAACTTAGAGTCAAGTTCACATAAAATGGTCCTAATAATGACCTTTGGTAAGTTTTGAGGCTGATATGTTTAGATTTCAGAAATAAAGTTTAAAATATCTATTCACTGAGAAAATTGAGATAGTTTAATATGCCAAACATACCAAAGTTGCCATTTTCACTAAAAATATTACAAATATAAAACAAAATACAAGAACTTAAAAGAAACTAGTTACACTAATATTAAAAAAATAACATTTCTAGAGTTACATATTTCTAGAATTTCTAAAAATGTACTTATACTTTCTTAACAATTGTATAGTCCTTAGTCCTTAACAAACCTAATAACTAGATAATAATTTTATTATTATTTATAATTTAATTTTAAGGAAGAGTAAATTGAAATTTTTAATTTTGGGGGAAGTCACATTGAATTTTTGGATGGCCACACCATACAGTGCTCATGGTTTACTTCTCTCTCCATGCTCAGGGATATTCCTGGTGGGACTTGAGGGACCATATATGGCGCTCAGGGTCAAACCCAGGCACTGTAGGCAGTGCAAATATCCTGACCACTGTACTATCTTTCTGACCTAAAAATTTGTGATTCTTTGAAAAAATTTTGGGGGATTTTTTTTGGGGGTGCCACACCTGGCAATGCTCCTTGCTCCTTGCTCCTTGCTCAGAAATTATTCCTGGTGGGGCTCTGGGGACTATATGGGATGCCAGGGACCGAACTCTGGTTTGCCATTTGCAAGACACGCATCCAACTTGCTGTATTATCTTGCTAGCCCCCAAATTTGTGATGCTTAAATGACTTGCCACAAACTATTGACTTCATATGTCTGTTATTTTATTTACACCAAAGTGGCCAGCTCTAATAATAGATATATTGCTCTAAAATTTTGTACATTAAGTTATAAGAAAAAAATACTTGTAACTCATAGCTCACATACAAAATCCACACATCTATGATTCTAGTGAAAACCATTAGTTTTTGTTGAATAAAATTCTCTCAATTTAAGCAGATGACAAAATCTTTAAAAAGTGAAATGATATCAAATAAAATATGACAATACCATCTGGTTTCCTCAATAAAGTACTATGGTATTTGATATTAAGAGAAAATGAAAGTAACATATATTTTTTAAAAAACTTAGGTCACCAAGTCAAAGTATATTTTGGGTTAAAATTATTTAATTTCATTAGTATAAGATGAATAACTGTTCTAAGACAACCCTATAAAAAGCAGTTTATGTAGTTTTCTATAGAACTCAATGACTAAACAATATGCCCTAATTAACTAAATTAAAAAGACCAGAACTCTCTCATCTGTTATTTTTGGTTCTTTTTGTAGCTAATGGTAACAAAGTGTCTAAAAATAAGGTCTCAGATTCTTTTCCTATTCATCTTCCTTGTGTTCTAAAATTCTTGCTGCCCTCTCACACTCTAGCTTTCTTGCATCTGGGTTTTAAAAAAACACAATAATTAAATAACATGGTTTACAACAGTGTTGAAGTTTGTGGTTTTGTGCACAAAGTTACTGCACCTCTACCACTACAAAGTGCCAAGAATTTCCACCACCCTTCATCCTCATGTCACTAGAAGGTTTGCACTATCCCTCTTGATAATCTCAGTTCTATAGTCAGAGTCCAAAGACATTTTTTCATTGGCTATTGGCTATTTGCTTTGTTTCTTTATATAACACATTCGAGTGAGATCATCCAGCGTTTGTTCTTTTCCCTCTGACTTCTTTTGCTTAACACAATACCCTCTAGTTTAGTCGTATCCAATCTGGGCTTTTCAATATGGTCTTGTACCCACCACAAATAATAACTTTGCCTATTTTAATCCACGTGACTTCATTTCTCAGCTGTTTGTCATCTCTCCATCTTTCATTGTATATACTTTATTATTATTTCATTGTATATACTTTATTGTATATACTTTATCTTCTTTATTTTGTATCACTGAAGATTTTGGTTTTAGACTTAAAATTGCTTACTGAATTGTTAATCCTTTGATGGAACATGTGCACTGGTGGTCTTTGCATTCCCAATGCTCAGCCCAGCACACTGCCTGGTGGATAGTAGTTATTTGGATAGATACTAAATGAATTCCTTTGAAGCACACACAGTTTTGAATAACATATTTAATATTTTAAAAAATTGCCTTCACATTTACATGTTTTGGTTTATAACCTACTTTTCTTAAACATTATTCATATAATTTATTAATTTTAAAGTATTCATTACAATTTAATTTTTTATTTAGTTGCTTATCATTTATTGATAGACACAAAAACATTTAGAAAATTTCAGAGGACATTTCCCACAGAATATTTTATTCCTTTTTTTTCCTGAGAATGTTATATTATGATACTAGAATAAATTCTGGATAAGAGATTTTTTTAATTTCCATTTTACAGAATTTCTATAAATCTGTAAAATTACAAAATATTAAACAATTTGTATAGTTCTAAGTAAACAATTACTAAGTTTTCAGTGGTGGGGCTAAAAATGAAGTGTCTTTGTGTTTCTTTTGACCATTTATAAAATACTGATTCTGTGTTTTAAATATTGATTCTGTTGCTTCAAGATTGTTTCAACAATGTTGATTCAGTTGTTTAAATAACTTTTAATTGTTTTAAATAATTTATAATAAAAGCTCAGTGGAAAATTTCTAATATGAACACCTTCTTATAAGTCAAGACTGGTAAGGATTTGCTGGCTTTGCATTCAAGTACTATAATACTACTTTCAGCATGAAAGAAATTATATATGAAGCCAAAGTAGGGCCACAGAAAATTTCAAACAGGAAAATATTCAAGTATTATAAAGAGGATAGAGAAAATGAGTGATAAAAATAACGTAAGTTACAAATTAAGGTATACTACTTGAAGAAACTCTAATATTGAGGGAAAGAAGGACTTGTAAGAAGCCACAAGCCTGATCTGAAATCATTTTTGGAGTACTTCTTTTCCCAGGATTTACCTACATAAACTGAGCTTAGCCAAGAAACTAAGGAAACAAATCAAACTTGATCAGTTTCTATAATTTCTTTATTTACTCTAGCTCTTTCAGCCTACTAGTTTTATTATAATTGAAAAAAACAATAATTTTTTAGCAACTCATATTTCAAATAGTAACCTTGCAATGAGGGATAATTTCTCCGCCCCTTTCTTTTTCCTTTGTTCATTACATCTAAGTAAGTCACAATTCTTGCTATATAGTTACTCACCCTTTGGCATTTATATGAAAACTTCTGAGACCAATTTTAGATTGAGACAACTATTATGCTAATTTTTTATAAAGATAAAACATGTGCCATAGGATGAGGGAAAGATGAAAAAAACTTTTGTTATAATTTGCTACTTAAATTTGACTGACAACATTGCCCTCTGAAAAAATCTTAAGGAGCACTTAATTTCAATGTAACCAGCTTTCCATTAAATTTTTTATTTACCTTTTTTTATTCCATAAAAACAATTCTAAATTTAGAAATAATTCTCTGAAATATCTGCACTGGCTCATAGTTTGCATCCACTTAAAAATACATTGAATTCAGCATTTCAGAGTAATTCAAGGTGAATTTGACACTTAGGTCTCATTTATTGTAATGATTCTGAACCAGTACTTTAGTAAAGGTGAATTATTCTTCATATATTTGTAGACAACACAAAAAATAAAAACTGAAATGTTAAAATAATCTGGAGATATAGCAGTCAAAGAGAACAAAACTGCACACAGTGTCCCTGGCTAATGACCCTTTCCCATATTCCATATCAACTGTCCTGAAAGCAGAACAAAGGTGGGGTTCAAGCATAGATCCCAAACTTTAAGTATGCATAAACAGAGATGGACTTTTCAAGAGAACTTAAAAATACCACATCATTTGGGATGGGTGTGGTGCTGGAATTATGTGCATGAGAAACCATTATTAATAGCATTGTAAACTACAGACTCTCAATAATGCCAAAATTATAAATTTTTCAGGTTGACTTCAATATAAACTCCCCACATTACAAAGTCATCATGATCAGAGATGATGTTTAGATATATAGATGTATATTTAGTTTTCTAAGTTGCATATTTTGATTGGTTCTTAAGGGCACAATATTACCTTCAAAAACACAAACTACACTTATTATTAAAAAGAAATCAGAAGACTGAAATGCTCTTAAAGGATTCCAAACTCCTTCTCCTTTACTCTTAGAGAAGTCAAGTTTTCTCACGGAAGACTTCAGAAAATTCTAAGTGATGAGGCACTTAGAACTCTAAGCAACAAATGAGTCCTTCAGGCAATGGTGAGGCAATGCTTCTATTGTGGTTGCATTGATACTGATTCCTTTTCTTGATGAAATTCAGGTGTGGTGTTTTAAGTTTTAGCAAATATATGTTTGTATTTTTTCTTCTTTCAAGAGAATAAACCTTTCATGTTCACTTCTTTTTGATATAATTGGGTACAGTATTGCTGTAAAATGGCAGCCCTTAGACTTCAACTACTAATGGTTTGATCCAGCCGTACTGATTTCTATAACTGTACCAAACACTTTCTTTAACATAAGATTTCAAGGGACTTTGCTAAATATTTCAAAAAAAGGTATCCTATTTTTAAAATAAAAAGTCTATAATTTTATGTTTTGCTGATATTCCAAGAAGCATTTAAAATCACTCGGTTGCATGGTACCTAACTTATTGACAGTTATTTAAAACAAAATCTTTTCCTTTGCCACATGTTCTATACAGCTGTAGACAAGTTATAGCTGTTCACTAATCTATAAAATATCTATAAGTCAATGAAATATGGAACAAGAGACAGTAAAGCAATGGAACAATAGTAAGTTTAAGGCCACCAACATAATATATCGAAAATGAGAAGTCTTACCTAGCATGCAAACACATGTGACATTCTGATCAGGGTTATCAAACAAGATTTCGCCACACCTCTGAAAAAGAAAGAAAGCCATAGTTATTTTAGAATTTTAAGGTAACATACTCATACAATTGACACCATTCTGACATTATTCTATCTTTATGTTTTCCTTGGTTAATTGTGTCTAGGGACTTGTGTTAAGAGTTCTTTCCTGGAAGTAATTATTTGGGAGATAAATTGGGAGAGATTGATACCACATCCTTCAAATCTAGAGCTGATCTGTTTGTTCTTATGAGGAGTCAGAACCAGAGATGCACCAGGTGTCTAATAGTTCCTATTAGGTGTATACATACTAGATAAGCAATCTGTTATGTCTTTAATAACTCTCAAAATTGATCTTCATTTTGCACCCGAATTATGCTAAGTTGTCACTTAACAACCAAACAATCTTAAACTGGGGATGAAGTAAACTTGAAAATGATGGAAAAATTCCACTTGTAAGTTTTTCCTGAAACCATATTTTTATGAGAAAATAGCAACTTTTTTAAATCTGTATTTAATTTCTCCATATGGGCTGGAGAAATTAAATACAGATAAGAAAAAGTTGCTAAAGATAGCACAGCGAGTAAGGCGTTTGCCTTGCATGCAGCTGACCTGGGTTTGATTCCTCTGCCCCTCTCAGAGAGCCCATCAAGGTACCGAGAGTATCCTGCCCTCATGGCAAGCTCCCCATGGTGTATTTGATATGACAAAAACAGTAACAACAATGGAGACGTTACTGGCTCCTGCTCGAGCAAATCGATGAACAACAGGAGGATGGTGTTACAGTGCTATTTAATTTCTAACTTCTTAAAACTTTTGTAGAAGGCAAACTGTAAAGATATAATCAGTTGATTTAGAACAGATCACATCTATGTATATGATTTTTAAATGGTTAGTACTTTCATCACGGTCACAGTCCTCCTGTTGTTCATCGATTTGCTCAAGTGGGCCCAGTAACGTCTCCATTGTGACACTTGTTACTGTGTTTAGCATATTGAATACGTCACGGGGAGCTTGCCAGGCTTTGCCGTGTGGGCAAGATACTCTCGGTAGCTTGCCGGGCTCTCCGAGAGGAGTGGAGGAATCGAACTCGGGTCGGCCGTGTTGGCTGCATGCAAGGCAAACACCCTACTGCTGTGCTATCGCTCCAGCCCAGTACTTTCATATGTATATAAATGCACCAAGAATGAGTAATTCATAAAGAAGAAAACTGAATCATCAATAAACACAGAAAGCATATTCAGCGATACTAATAATTGAGAAACAGCAAATTAAAGATAAAATGAAGACTACTCATTGTTGTGGCAAAATTTAGATATCTGGTAATAACATGTATTCTCAAGTATGTCAAAAAATACTCTCATGTACTGTGGGTGAAGCATAAAATGATGGAAGTACTTTGTAGAAAAATTAATCAAATGTAATAAAGTTAAAATTTGCCACCTTATTACATGTTATTCTCTAGAATAACAACTAGAGAGTTGACAAGTAATGATAGGCAACATTAATGCAGACTACATAGCGCAAAAACAATATATTATTCATCCACTGGTCTACTTTCACAGAGCAGTTAAAATGAGTGAAATAGTACCACATATACTGGAAAGATATAGATTCATTATTTTTGTTTGCTTGCTTTTAGTCCTACAGGCCTTCTAAGTGGTGCTCAGGGGACCAGGAAGTCACTCCTAGATATACTCAGTCAACTGGACAGCAGCTCAATGCTAGGGCTCAAGGATGCAGTACTGCTTGGGCCTTGTGTGCTTATTCCTAGTGACCTCCACGGTCATACCTGGCAATGTTCAGGGGGTTTCAGGGCTGCACGTAGTGTTGCTCAGGAGGCCACATGATTCTGGGATCAAATTAGGTTGGGCTCATGCTAAGCTTACACGTGCCCTGACAACAGTACTATCTCTCAAGCCAAATATAGATTTAAAACATGTACATATATTTAAAACATGCACACATATTACATATTCATGTTATTAGTGTTTATGTAATATAAATATGTCATCTCCATGTATAAACATATGTAATTTTCAAGAAATATAAATACACATATTATTAAATACATCCATCATTTATGAATAATTTATGGTAAAAAGAGTGAAAATGTAAAAGTTAATTAATATAAACTACAGAGAGTAAAAAAGAGTTGGAGAGCATATAGGTGCTATCAACTTTTTAATGATGCTAAAATTATTATCCAAATTGTTTTCAGTACTTGAAATATTTTTTTATAAGAAGAAATTGCCTTCAGGGATGGAGAAGGTGAAGTGTTTGCCTTGTATTTTACTGACTTAGCTTTGATCCCTGGCATCCTGTATGAATCCCAAACTCTGCTGAAAGTGCAGAGCCTGAGTGGCTTGAGTGCAGAATCAGGAGTAAGCCATGAGCACTTCTGGTGTGTCCTCCCCAACCCCCGCAAATAAATGCCACTCCCCTCCAAAAAAAAAAAAGAAAGAAAGAATTGCTTCCATAGGTAAGACTCTGGGTACAATTATGATTGTAGGACCTTAATTTCCAAATTATTACTTCAGATTACTAATTTAAAAAGTCAGAATATTTTAATAAATTTGTTACTAATTCTTTGTCACTAGGAATTTTCTATTGTAAACCCAAAATTAATCTCTTAGCCAGGAAGAAGATAACAAAAACAACAGATGAACACTGTCTTCCTGTTGTTCATTGATTTGCTCGAGCGGGCCCAGTGAAGTCTCCATTTTGAGACTTGTTGTTACTGTGTTTGGCATACTAAATATGTCATGGGGAGCTTTCCAGGCTTTTGCCGCGAAGGCGAGATACTCTCCATAGCTTGCCGGGCTCTCTAAGAGGGGCGGAGGAATTGAACTCGGTTCTGCCAGGCTGGCTGCGTGCAAGGCAAACACCCTACCGCTGTGCTATTGCTCCAGGAAGAAGATAAATATTATAAGATACTGCATATGCTAGAATTTTTAAAATTATATTAAGATACTTATTTTTCATTAATTACACTATATGTTTCCACAAAATGATCCTATAATTAGTTGTGGAAAGTTGAAATAGGTGTAATTAAAAAAAAAAACTTAAGTATTGGACTGGAGCAATAGTATACAGCAAATGGGGTGCATATCTTGCATGTGTGACACCCACATTCTATCCTCCCTCATCACCCTGTATGGTGCCCCTAAGCACTGCCAGGAGTAACTCCATAAGCCCTGCTGGGTGTGACTCAAAAACCAAAACCAAACAAAAAATCCATAAGTATTTAACAAATCTCTTCTAAGAGAACATTGTATTAGAAATGAAATTATTTCAATATTAATAACAATACCAAATACACTCAAAAGAAATAAAAACTTTAGTGACAGTGAAAAGTAGACATACAATTCCCCTTGTAGCACTTCTAGCATTTTTTTTTTCTTTTTGGGTCACACCCGGCGAGTTACTTCTGGTTCTTCACTCAGGAATTACTCCTGGTGGTGCTCGGGGGACCATATGAGATGCTGGAAATCAAACCCGGGTCGGTCGCATGCAAGGCAAATACCCGACCTGCTGTGCTATCGCTCCAGCCCCTACTTCTAGCATTCTTAAACCAGCAAAGATTTTTCCTGCTTCAGATAAGCTTTCATGCTCTTTTTTTACTCTGAATATTTGCTATCATTTGAATGCATTAGTCGCTCAGCAGGCTGGCAGTAACTTATCTTCACAGAGCAGGTGTCTTATTATCTTTGGATAGGAGGAAAGATTAACAAATAAAATCTAAGATAGAAATTTTTGTTACTTAGAGATTTGTCCCAATGTCAGCTCAGGCAATAATTGTTTTCCTCAAGTAGGTAATGTTAAATGTTATCAGCAAATAATTAATAGGTCATGATTTTTTAATTATTTCCCTCACACCTACAGTTTTTTATTTTAAGCAGAGAAGAAATTCACAAAGGGACTTAGATGCTTATCAAATCATAAGATGAGCAATTTATAGGCTGGCCTCCATGATTGACTCTCAGACAAAAGTACAAGATTGATTTATAAAGGAAATGATGGTGGGACCACAACCAGAAAAAGAGAGAAGCAGAAGGCCCCACAGACATTGCTGATTTTTTTTTTTTTTGGTGAAATACCATGAGATACAGTTGTAGACTTACAAGTTTTTGTGCTTGGGTTTCAGTTATACAATGATTGAGTAGCCATCCCACCACCAGTGCCCATTCTCCACCCCTACCAATCCCAGTATCCCTCCCACCACCCCACCCCCCATCCCACCCTGCCTCTGTGGCAGGGCACTCCCTTTTGTTCTCTCCTTTTGGGTGCTGTGGTTTGCAGAAGAGGCATTGGGTAGCAATCATGTTCGGTCTAGAGTCTACTTTCAGCATGCATCTCCCGTCCTGGGCAGATCTTCCCAGCACCCTTTATTTGGTGCTCCCTTCTCCATCTGAGCTGCCTTTACCCCTAGAGTGTGTGGCTGGCCTCCAAGCCATGGAGCGAACCTCCTGGTATTTATCACAGCTGTTCTTGGGTGTTAGTCTCTTATTTTGTTACTTTATGTCACCCAGATGAATAGAATCTTTCTATGTCTATCCCTCTCTTTCTGGCTCAAGAAATTGCTGATTTTAAGAATACACAGTATGACATTGATCTAGAAATTATAACTGATTCAACATTTTAATTGAATCGATAAGTACGAGAATGTTGTATCCTTTTTTTCCCTTCCTGGGTCACACTGGCAATGCTCAGGGGTTACCCCTGACTCTGCACTCAGAAATTACACCTGGTGTTGCTTGGGGGTGGGGGTGAGGGGACCTTATGAGATGACAGGGATTGAACCCAGGTCAGCAGTGTTCAAAGCAAACGCCCTTGCCCTCTCCACTGTCCTATCACTCAGACCCCTCAAGAATGTTGGATACTGATAAGAAATCTCTACCTGACATGTCTATGACTATGCTCACTAGATCATTAAAATGAAACAAAATAAAGCAAAAAGAACCTTGACAAGATCAGACTCATTTTGGAAAAGAGAAGATCAGAACTGAGTTTTCTGAGCCGAAGAAAGTT